CCGCCATGACGAAAGGCCCACACAAAAAACCCACACGAAATACCCACACAAAAAAGCCACACTGACAAAAAACCCACCTAGCAGAAACAAGAGATAAATGTCTTCTAAATCTGCCATTTCCTAGCGACTACCAACCAAAAAAAAAAGCACTAGAAAAAAATTCCATAGGATCTCACTCTAGTCTAAGACCCGTTTAAAAATGCTGACCTCAGCAGTCTTCAAGTCGTAGCATCAGCCTGCTGGGTGGAATCCTGAAAGACATTTTTTGCTGTGATAGATGCCACTATTCCCAGAACCGGAAATTGCCATCAACAGATAACATGGACTTAGTATCTCTTTCATTCTTTAAATCTGTTTTTCTTCTCACCCCAACAGTGGATGTGTATTTTAGGTCCGTTTAACATTTTGTTTTTCATTTTATTTCCATCAAGAATCAGATTTTAAAGGTTAATTTCTCTGTTGAACTATGGCATTAATTTGATATTTGTCTAGAAATAGTGCGAGTTACGCATACAGCCTTCCTAATGAAGTGTCAATTACAGTATTACACAATCTTAAGTTCTAGAAAAATATTTAAAAAAATAAATGTTAGAACAGCGAAGCACCGAAATCATTAATCAGAAAAAATAAATAATTGGAAATTAAAATCGCGAAAACTCAACTTGAAGTGACTTAGCAGGATTTGCAATTTTATTTTAAAAAATGTTCGAGTGAAAAGGGTATTTAATTTTATAAAATAAAATTAATTTAATTTAACGTAATGTTAAACGTAATATTGCTAGTTATATTATTGTCTGTAGAAAATTATAACAGTGGTTTAAGTTTTGAATTAAGGCTGGGAGTGTTACTACAAACTTCAGTTCGTCCATTTTAGTCGACTTAAACAAGACTTTATTCAAGAACGAGATATAAATAGCAACACTGTTCGATTTGTGCAGACAAAATAACATAATTAAAGTCAGGAAAGGGAAGCAACTGTTAAAGTAGAAAAAAGGGAAATTACTTTGGACTTCTGATTCTAAATATGAACGCGAGTAAGACATTTATTTAAACATATATCACATACATACGTATAACAATAAAAACAATATTTAAATAATTTAACATTTTATTTAAATCTAGCCGAACTAGATTTACGAGTCACCAAAAAAAAAAAAAAAAAAAACGAAAATTAAAGAAAATATAAATTGTTGTGAAATGTAAACCAGAACTCGAGAACAGGAAAAAAAATATGATTTAACCACAACCCATATATTACAAAAAAAGATTGTATGATTGAACCACAAGCCATATATTGCAAGAAAAGATTGTATGATTGAACCACAAGCCATATATTGCAAGAAAAGATTGCCCACTGTAAACCACATCCCCACAATCTCAGCATCCAGCGATTGCACGTGACATGAGACTCTGGCCCAGGGCGACCTTCTATTCTTAGTGGCCAGCTATCGAAAACAGAAATGGAAGTGAATTGAATTGTCAGACATTCGAGGGAACGATTTCAAAGTGTTGGGAGGCTTCCAGTGGCCGATGGTTTGGCCTCGTTTTGGAATCTAATCATGGGAGATAAGTAATCGGGAATTCCTTTCATTGGCGACCCGAAAACGGTGCGCAATTTCGTCCTTCATTGTGCTTATTAGTGCGGGGTAAGGTTACACTTTGAAAAAGGCCCGGAGAGTCTTGAAGAGGTTATTTGTCCAAGATTGCAATCAAAATTTTTCTTTTCTTTTCAATTTCTTTTTAAATATCATGCCATTGTTATAATTCGAATCTTGACATTTGTTATACTTCAGATATTTGGTACTGGTCTACTTGCTCAGTTTAAATTTATGACACTTGTTAAAGTTTCAATATCTAAGGTTATTTTCCGGGATATTTTTGTAAATTCTTTCATTTTTAAATATCTGAGACTTCATATAGCTGAAATATTGAGATTTGTTATATTGAGACTTGTTATGGCTGAAATATCGAGACTTGTTATACTGAGACTTTTTATAGCTAAAATATTGAGACTTGTTATATTGAGACTTGTTATAGCTAAAATATTGAGACTTGTTATATTGAGACTTGTTATAGCTAAAATATTGAGACTTGTTATACTGAAACCTTTTTTAGCTGTAATATTGAGACTTGTTGTTTGTGGTTCCAAATATAGTTTACGCAGTTAACACACTTGATGGGCAAATACTTCAATTTTAATCAACTTGACAAAGGTAATGTAGCTAAATATTCGTTTTAGTGCTTTTTATACTTACTTTTTAAAAAGTATAAACAAAATAAGCCTTGTTAGTTTATGAACAAATTATTCTTAAAAAAACAATCCGAATGTGGATATATAAACAAAAAATTATAAAAAAAAAAACAATCCATTTGTGGATATATAAACAAATTATTCTTTAAAAAAACAGCAATCCATTTCTGGATGTATAAATAAACCGATCTCAAAGAGAAAGATGTTCTCTTTCCTTCCCAGGCTTCTTAATATTAAAAGCTGTAGCAAGGCCGTAGCTATTCCGACAGTACGCGGGTTGATTAGCTCCCTTGACAAGCAAGCTTCCTTTCTCGCCCCCAGATAGTAAATGATGTTAAATTGATCCAGTTTTAAACCGCATTATATTGAAATGTCCGTTTTAGGGGATACTTTAATGGAGCGTTGGAAGTGAAGAAAAAAAGACGGAACAAAAATTTTCAATAAAAAAAAAGCGTTGAAAAAAATAATTTTTAAAAAGTAAATGTATTTTTACAAATAATTAAGAGAAGATGCGTTTAGAATTTCCGCATTAATTAGGTCACCATTTGGAAATTAAGGATCTATTTTTGTTGAAATACTTGCTAATGCATTTAAATAAAGGATCTAAAACCAGGATATATGTGTGTATTGTATTGTTGTTTTTGATGGTGATGGTGCAGGGTGGTGGTGTTGGTGGCGGTGTTGGTGGTCTTCTGTTGAGGTTGTTGGTGTGGGTGGTGATGGCGGTGTTGAGGGCGTTGGTGTGGGTGGTAATGGTGGTGTTGAGTACGTTGGTGTGGGTGGTAATGGTGGTGTTGAGGGCGTTGGTGTGGGTAGTAATGGTGGTGTTGAGGTTGTAGGTGTGGGTGATAATGGTGGTGGTGAGGGCGTGGGTGTGGGTGGTGATGGTGGTGTTGCTGTTGAGGTTGTTGATGTGGGTGGTGATGGTGGAGGTAGTGGGGTATTGCTGTTGAGGGTGTTGGTGTTTGTTGTGAGTGGTGCTGTTGAGGTTGTTGATGTGGGTGGTGATGGTGGAGGTAGTGGTGTATTGCTGTTGAGGGTGTTGGTGTTTGTTGTGAGTGGTGCTGTTGATATTGTTGGTGTGGGTAGTGATGGTGGTGGTGAGGTTGTTGGTGTGGGTGATAATGGTGGTGGCGAGGGTGTGGGTGTGGGTGGTGATGGTGGTGGTAGTTGGGTGTTGCTGTTGAGGGTGTTGGTGTTGGTTGTGAGTGCTGCTGTTGAGGTTGTTGGTGTGGGTAGGGATGGTGGTGTTGAGGGCGTTGGTGTGGGTGGTGATGGTGGTAGTAGTGGGGTATTGCTGGTTATGGTGTTGGTGTGTGTGATGAAGGTGGTGCTAGTGGGGTATTTCTGTTGAGGGTGTTGGTGTGGGTGATGATGGTGGTGTTGAGGTTGTTGGTGTGGGTGGTTATGGTGGTGTTGAGGGTGTTGGTGGTGGTGGTAGGGGGGTGGTCAACGATTTCAACGATCCGATATAAGATACTCCAACCACAGTCCCCCCACAACACATAGATTCTCAGCCTACCAAGATGGAGTGAGTTACACCACCAAAGCCCTTGTTGTAGAGTACTCTCTCCATCCCCTGACGATTTCTTGTCTTAGACTAAAATTAAAAATTTCTAGTTTTGTTATCCCCTAGTGACCTCCCTTACTAAAATACCATGCTATAAATACTTCAGCAGAGACTCGCGATGCCAGTTATCCCCCTTTAGAAGTTGCCCGTAGATTTGACACTCTCCTGTACTGGGATTTACCAACAGATTATTCCTTCCTATGTGGTCCTTGCCTATATCGAATGAAACCAATCGCCCTAGTCTAGCTTAAGAAGTCAAAGCGACAGAAAGGCTCAGAGATAGAGAGAGGGAGAGATATATACCCAGGCGTTAGTATTAAAAAGTTTTCTTATCTTTGCGCTGTCGGCCTTCATTGATTCGGTGATTTGTTTGGGGGCCAGTACCGTATTTAACCCCCCTTTGCCCCTCCTCGTAATTAACTCCCTTGCTCTTCCTCCGTAGTTTAGCAGCGAGTGTGACCAGTAGCAGATACTTTGTGTCTGGGATAAACACTTGGAGTACTAAATCTACATAATCAAATGGCACAGCATCGTCCCGCGCGGTGGAGGGGGATACAGACATGAATCAGCTCAGACAGGGGGTCCCGGGGGTCATCCGGTATGCAGGGGCGTATCATGTCGGGGTCGGTCAAGTGGTGGGAGCGTATCGTGACGGTGAGGGTCAGTCTAGATTCAGGCATCCCGAATGGACGTTTGTCCGAATACGGCAAATATCCATTCGAGTAAATATCTTAGGACAAACGGCATAAAGATATATATATATATATATATATATATATATATATATATATATATATATATATATATATATATATATATCTGCGTTTGTGTTTACATTGTATTTGTGTTTTCTTTTGCGTTGTGTGTGTTTTCTTTTGTGTTTGTGTTTAGTTTTGTTCTGTTCCCAAGTTAGTACATTTAAAAAAAGATTTACCGTGGCGGAGCACGGGTATGCAGCTTTTGTGTTTGTGTTCTCTTTTGTGTTGGTGTTGTGTTTGTGTTGTGTTTAGTTCTGTTCCCAAGTTAGTACATTCAAAAAAGATTTATCTTGGCGGAGCACGGGTATGCAGCTTTTGTGTTTGTGTTTAGTTTTGTTCTGTTCTCAAGTTGGTACAATTAAAAAAGATTTACCGTGTCGGAGATCGGGTATGCAAGTAGTATATAAATGCAAAGACTTACCTTTTTGGTTCCTAGATGTTGTATCTTGCAGGGTAATACCGCCTTTCCCCCCTCTCTGGCCGTGATGTTTGTGTTGGTCTCCAGAAAGACGGGCTCCATAGGCACGTTGGTGTAGCTCTCCAAAAACTCTGGGAGGACAGAAAGCCCTAGGGAATATTAGCACAGTTGTTGACAGGATACTAAGCTACAGGTGATGTGTGGACAGATGGGGATGGTGGTGATGGAGGCAGTGATCAAACAGTGAGAGAAATCCTGCAGGAAAAAACTAAATACTTGTTTAAAGAGTGTGAGTTCAGATTTACAACATAATGTAAAAAAACAAGAATGTAAGTACATTTTAAAAATTTATTAAATGTGACAAAAACTTGAAGCTTTAGAAAACGATATTCAGTGCGGCATTACAATTTTTCGAATTGAAAACTATGTTTTTCTAAATTAATTTCCTAATGAAAATTATAAAAAGTATGGCGTGTTCGTTAATTAAATTTTGAATAACCGTGGTAGCTACAGAAGTTCTTTGTCAAGGGAAGTTCGTCTGAGAGCTGTCTGTACATTTTTAGATTACTGAAAATGTTTGTCATTCAGAGAAAAAAAAAACAAGAAAAAATCGAACAAAAACAATAACAAAACAAAAAAACAACAAACAAAAACAAAACAAGAATACAATCAAATCTTTGCTTGAAATAGTTTTAGGACGTTACAAATTTATGTTGTCTCCGGCAAGGATGAAGTTAAAGATTCCGGGTTACGATTGAGGAAGGGAGGAAAGGTAAGGATGACATTTGTGTCACATACATGACGCAGTTCTATAACGAAGCAAAGGAATACAATCGAGCAAGACTGAAAGGAGTCATCATACTTGTGACTCCAAGTCAGAAAACACAATCAGCAATATCCATGCTTTTATGCGTCGGCATAAAGTATGAGTTTAAAATTTTAAACGGTATTCATTCAGGTAGAGAAATAACTTTTGTTGTACGTTCGTTATGACTACAACAGAGAAAAAGCTTGAGGGAGAGAAAGAGAGAGGTAGTTAAAGAGAGAGGTAGTTAAGATAGTGAGGTAGTAAAACAGTGAAGGTGGGAGAAGGTGGGTGGGTGTCGGAAAACGAATGACACACAATCTGAAGTACACATTGCACTTGAAAAGTCATCTTAAAAAAACGTTGGAGCCAATCATGCTGCAGTCATTCATCATTTGGTGGACAAATAGGAAAAACCCGATTGTCCAAGTCGTCTGCTACGGGGAAAAAGTGCAAAAGAATTCCTAGATCGATACCACAAGTGTTATTAAAAATGTGGAGAGTCTAGAAACAGGCGGATGGAATAGGGGCTCGGCTAGTGGGTAAACACAGTATTTCTTTCACTCAATCATTCGTTGCACTACGTTTCGGGTTTCTTATATATATATATATATATATATATATATATATATATATATATATATATATATATATATATATGCCTATATTTGTAAGCCTATATATGTAAGCCTATATTACACGTGAATTGATAAATAAATAAATAAATAAATAAATAAATAAATAAATAAATAAATAACTATATATATATATATATATATATATATATATATATATATATATATATATATATATATATATATATATATATATATATATATATATATATATATATATATATATATATATATATCAATATAATTTATTCTACAGAAAGACATTTGATATTTATAAAAATAAAACTGTATATCAGCTGTCGAGGATCTCAAAAAATATAACGAGTCTTACAAAAGCTAAAGTGCGATAAGGATTATCGATTATTGTGTACTTGAAATTTGGCGATAATCAACTCCTTAGACATGCTCCACACGGCGGAGTCATGTCCAGTGAAGTGAAATGTGAAATTTAAATTTGATTAAAATCAGAATTTTAGTTCAGACAAATTCGATTTTTTTAAACATTGTGGGATAAAAATAAAAAATCAGGCATATTGGTGTATTTTTTCTTATTTTTATTTATTGGAACTTGCAAAATATGTACTTTTGAATTTGCTTTTACACTCAATTTTAGTGGATTTTGTTTCTGTGAAATATTAAGAATTAATAAATTAAACTTTATGTTTGATTAGTGTAGTCGGTTGGTTTTGTGGTATGTTGTAATGGCTTGGTGTAGTGGAATGGTGTGGTGGGATGGTGAAGTGGGTTGGTGTAGTGGGTTGTTGTAGTGGGTTGGTGAATGGGTTGGTGTTGTTGATTTGTGTTGTGGTATGGTGTAGTGGGTTGGTGTAGTGGGTTGATGTAGTGGTTTGGTGTATTGGGATGGTGTAGTGGTTTGGTGTAGTGAGATGGTGTAGTTGATTGGGGTAGTGAGTTGGTGTAGTGAGATGGTGTAGTGGGATGGTGTGGTGACATGATGTAGTGGGATGGTGTAGGTGGTCGGGGTTACAAAAATAATGTTAATAAAAGAGTTGTCCGTACAATGAAATAAACAACTACGTCCCACTTACTTTTCGTTTTTCTTATGAAGAAGTTATATTGAGACACAAAAAGAATGAAATAGACCCCCCCCCCGTCCATCGAGCCAGGAAGCTTTGTAAATCCTCCATTTAGTTGACTAGGTCTAGCTAACTATAAAGTAGCTTAACCCAGATGTTAAGAAAATATTTTCCTTCATCAGCGGAGAGGCTCTCTGAATATTTGATCAACTTCATTTGACTGATTGGTCTACCAGGACATACACAAACAAAAAGTAACCAATTTTACTTAAGTAACCGGAAGCCTCTTATATGGTTTACACAGATTGGAGATATATATATATATATATATATATATATATATATATATATATATATATATATAAATAAATATAAATATGTATATATATATATACATATATACATACATTATATATATATATATATATATATATATATATATATATATATATATATATATATATATATATAAATTTGCGAACTATTTTTCTACTACCAGGATCGTATTTTGACGAAATATCACAAGACTCTGCCTCTTTCTAGACTTGAGTGTAATACAAATACTTCCGGGTCAATATTTAGATACCGTGTCTGGAAGCGATTTGCCCAATTTCGAAATCCTATTACAAGTGACGTCATAACCAACGGCTAGTATACGACGCAATTTGCTAAATATACATACTTCTATAAATAGCCAGAAACCCATATCATTATTTAACTTATTAAAACCAAGTCACAATCTTGCTAATTATTTAATTTTGTTTTCCTTGTTTTTTTTTTCGAAGGAATATTTTTTTTTCTCCAAAATTTCAGGTGTTGTATTAACATTTTTGGCGTTGTATATCCAGTAGGCTAACACTCTGGTGCCAGTATTTTGTATTGTTCCCTTACAACCAGCACACGCCAGTAAGACGATCAGCCTGAAGTACAGACCCCTTAAAGAACTAAAGTGAACCCAACTCACCCCACGTAGTTACTATCTAATGAGCCGACACCATCTTTTTACACATGGAAACAAAAAACCCTCCTCACACCACCTCATTAGCGAGTATATCAGCACGTGCTTAATTATTCTAAAACTTGCTTTAAAAATTATCGAATATTCAACCTTGCCAAATCGAAGTCCATCCATATGCTGAGGGAAACACCAGCTTTGAAATTAGTTTCCTGATGCATGCGTAAGCTTCTTTTAATTCCATGGTTTGATGCACGTTTCAGCATAGAACACAGGTAGCTGCAGTATGTAGAGGAAGCTTGAAACTCATACCTGCAGTACAGGTAGGTTTACAGGTAAGCTTCTCACTTACCTGATCATAATTCTCATAAACAAGGAGACATGTTATCTCTTTTAATATATCCCATGATTTCGGCACAACGTAAGCACGTTTTTGTTGTCACGAATAATAAATACACCTCTAGCTGATTCTAGCTAGATATGACCTTTTCGTGAAGCTATGTCGCGATAACTGCGAATGTTTATATGAAATCAAGTACAAATAAGTTAGAGTTACCCCGCTTTAGCTTGATTAACTTCACTCACGGCTGTATGAAGATCGTGTTTCGACTTCTCCAATATATTTAGATAATTAGTAAAATAAAATAATAAATATTTCGTATCTGTAGCCATGGTGCACCATAGGCGCAGTGCACCGCAAGCACAGTGCACCGCAGGTACAGTGCATCACAGGCACTGTGCACCATAGGCACAGTGCACCACAGGCTCAGTGCACCACAGACACAGTGCACCACAGACACAGTGCACCGCAGGCATAGTGCACCACGGGCACAGTGCATTGAATGTACAGTGCGTGCACCGCGGGTACAGTGCACCGCAGGCACAGAACACCGCAGGCATAGTGCACCGCAGGCACAGTTTTCTGTTAAGACTCGACTCCAGCACACGACATGCAGGAAACTACGTCACCAAAGTAGAATTATGAATTACCCCGGAAGTAAAATAATGGAAATTATTCAGCTAAAAATAGTTCGTTTTCGTGCAATGCAATTGCTATTGTTTTCCCCAGGTTTTAATATTTTAACGTGATTATTTTTTTTTTTGCTGATCATGACAGGAATTGATTCTATACAAAAATCTTATCTGCGAAAAAAATGATAGTCGCATTGAGTTTTTACAGCAGAAAATATAAGATTGCAATTTAGCTCGAACTCTCAGTAAACGCGAGCTAAACTAGTAACCGGAGATTTTCACATTTTACAGCATTACACTAGTAAAATAGCCTGAGAATATCATATACAACATAAGTACACTGGTAAAATACCATGGGACTATGATATATAACATCAGTAAACTAGTAAAATATCATGGGACTATCATATATAACATCAATACACTAGTAAAATATCATGGGACTATCATAGACTATAACAATTGTACAATTATAAAAATATGGTACTATCTATATAACAACGGTACAATCATAAAACATGGTACTATCTATATAACAACGGTACAATCATAAAATAGCTTGGGACTATCTATATAGCTTCGGTAATCTCGTAAAATATCATGGGACTATCATAGGTATATAACAAAGGTACAATCATAAAATAGCATGGGACTATCCATAAAGCTTCGATACACTCGTAAAATACCATGGACTTATCACATACTACAGTTTTAAACTAGTATAAACCATGCCTCAAGTCAGGTT